CTATAGTAATTTTACAGAAATCCTGACTGACTGCAGTAGTCATTAGTCTGGGCCTCAGGAAAGCTGGCAGTCTACAAGGCAAAGAACACAGTGGTCTGAGAAACCCAGAGGAAAGAGTCGTTTGGGGCATGTCTGGATCCCACCTAATCTGCTTGTAGCTGTTTGCTGTTTTTCTTACCTTGGTTTCCTAAGGAAATGATGCCTGTAGATGGTGCTGGCTGTACATGTGCCTACCAGTCCTTCACTTAATTATAATTGAAACCTGCTGACTTTTCTAGTGTAATCATAGTGCTCCAGAAGCAGATATGCTCTAGAAGCAGATTATACAGGTTCTCTACCAATAGGAGGATAGGTAGACAAGAAGGACCTTATTTGTGTTCACATAGCTGCTCTTTTTTTATAAAAAAAATCACAAATTTGTGAGGAGCCAAGCATGAAATCCAAGGGCCAGAGTCTCCAGGCTAAGGGTAGAGTTGAGTCCTGCAATTACTTCTGCTGAACAGCGTAGAATTATAGCGATGACTTTATTCTTTTCTCATTGTTTCCTAGCTCACTCTGCTTTTCCTCCAGAATACAAGGTCAGCACAGAATACATGGAGAGAGACCCTGCAGGAGTGTATCCTGCTTGTTCTGGGATGTATCCTTACCACCCATTTCCCATGGGATTTGCCATCAACCAGCCAGGCTGTAAGGGAGCACCATCACCTCCAGGGATTTCACTTCAGAAGGGTTTCCGACCCGTTCCAAGCAGCTCTGGACCAGGGAATGCAGCTTCTTTGTCAGTGAGTAGAGCCTTGTGGTTTTTTAATTACTTCTGGGAATACTGCTGGTTTTGCTTGTACTAGAAGATCTTTGAAGGTCCCTTCTTATTCTGTTCTGTTCTATTCTATTCTGTATTTTGCTTTTAGCTACCTCTGAGCTGCATATTTCACTATGCGCGGGCTTTGCATGTGACAGCATATGGACACAAAATTGACCCTCCAGAAATGGAAATTTCATAGGTAAAGATGGAAACAGAAATTGTTTGGTAGTGCAGATGTGTCCTGGAGAGAGAGAGAGTCTCTGAATATCCTTTGCTCCCTGTGTTTCCACAGATTCCAGATGGAGGTGGAGATTTCCATCAGGCGTACTACACTCCTCTGCCTCAGTTTGTCCCACCAACTTTTCTGCCAGGGGTTCATTATATTCCACCTCCCCTGTCACTGAATGTGTTTGCTGAAGCAGCCAAGGAAGCACACGGTAAGGAATTGTTAGACGAGCCTTGGGAGATCCAATTTTAATCTGGTTTCAGTACCTAAACGCTGAGATGGATGCCCCAAGACACCTTGATTCTAGCTTCAGTTTTAAGGGTTTCCCAGATCCCTGTGATGGAGCCAGGACTGAGATCCCGAAAGCCCAGGTCAGACTGCCAGCTTGGACAGCTTAGCATGAGCACTGTGAAACTTCTTGCACATTTGGAAAGCCTACATTTTAATTGCTGTAGATGAAAGATTGAATCTTCAAGATCTGAAATTTTTCAGACTGAATCCCACAAGATTTTGTATTTCTGGCTAGGTAAATATGTATGACCTCCTCTTTTGGGTCTCTTTCGTGTCTAGTGCCTATATGTGGACATACTGTGATCCTATCTGTAAGCTGTTCATTTGGCTGCAGCTAGCAGTGACCACAAGAGGGTAGTGCTGCCCAGAGAATTAACCACTAGCACTGGATGAGTCAATAGCCAGTCTCATAAGTTCTTTCTGAAAATGCAGATAAATAAGTACAACTTTATTTCTCTTCTTGAACATGAGAAACTGTAAGTCCAACTGCTTATCACACAGATTATAATCATCAGCCAATGAAAAATGAAATATCTTCTATAAAAGGGAGGGAAAGCGGACTGATTTTCTCATTTGAATTAAAATGATGTTGATAGCGATCACATGGGATAAAATATAAGTTGAGGAGGTTTGGGCCTGATTTCTCCCCAAAGTCTCTTGTGCAGACCCATTTCTGTTAAACCAGTATCCTCGCAACTTTTCAGGACATTATTTTCAGCCAAACATAGTGCTGTGATCAGAGGCCTGCACAGTTGATCTGCAGGGGAAGCATGTGCCTGCCACAGAATGGCTTGCAGCCATGACGTGAGGTGGTGCTTGGCCAGCAGTCAGCTCGCACTCAGTTCCTGACTGCCATGTGTGTACCTTGGCCAACAACCAAGCGCCTGCCAGTCAGCCCAGCAGTGGGCACGTATCTCCCAAGCAGTTTGCTTTGTGTCTGTCTGGAAAGCCAAGGAAAAGTAAGCAAGAGAAGTAGTGGATGAGGAGAATGTGAATATGGAAGCATCAAGGTGTAGAGACATCATGTAAATGTAAAGATATTCTAGGATATCGAGAAAGGCGTCAATCAGAGCTTCAGCGCAGTGTGTAGATACTGGGCTGATGGAGGTAAGATAATATGGGCTGAGTTTGAGGGGAAGAGATGAAGCTGAGAGCTGGCAGGCAAAGCAGAAATTGTATGTGAGGATTACTGAGTTGTGTGGTTTAGTGGAGATGAAATCTGGGGGATACTTGCAGTGGCAGAGAGTTTGTAGCAGTTCTGGGGTGGTGTGGGAAAGAGGAGGAACAGGAGGTAGCTGGTAAACTGGAGAAAAGTAGTGACATTGCATGTGGGAAACAGGAAATGCAGACCTGCATTGGTAGAATAAAGCTTTACTGGGCAAACAATCGTGAAAACAGGCAACTGGGATAAATGAGGTAATGAGAGCACTCCCCTAGAGAGCAAAATGCCATCTAATGACTTCAGTCTTATTACTCAGTAGGGAAATTACAACCCGGGCACAAAGCCATAGGAATCAGTGCATCATGGATTATGCTGTTCAGACAACAAACTAGTCTTCCTAGTACCAGGGAGCAAGTACAAATTAATTCCACTACACAGTATTTTTGCTCCAGGATATGTAAGAGCTTGCAATTGTGACCCAGTGAAGGAGATGTTTCTGCATGAGGTCATAAACAAAACAGCCTCTCAGCAAAAGATACAGATGAAGAAGAAAGCTACAGTGAAACTACCAATTCTTTGATTCTGGTTTTCAGGATACCTGAAAAAAGAGAAAAACTGTAACATTAAGTACATAGGGACATGTTAGGGTCACATCATGTCTTTTTTCTTAAGAAAGGAAGTGCAGGGTGTTGTGTTGTATAATTTCGGGTTGTATTGACTAGTAGTGTTACAGAGATCAGACAAACAGAAGGTATGTCCAACAGAACAGCCAGTACAGTACTTGAGGATAGAGTCTGACTGCAAGTTGTTGGCTTTGTAAAATAGCAAGCTGCAGAAAAAGAAACAACAAACCTGTCTCCACATGGGAAGATGAGGGAGATTTACGTGAAAATTGGCAAGTAAAAAAACCTGTGTTTAAAAAAAAAACATCCTAGATAGATTCAAAGACACTATTGGTCAGTCAGTGAAGGCCTTCAAAATTCCCAGCAGTGTTCGTAAGGCATGCTGCAGGTTCACTGTGGCTAAGCAGGCAGAAGAGCCTGTCTCGTACTTTTATTCCAGTGCAGCTTCTGTATTTGCCATCTTGAAGCAAGCATTCTTGCTGCTTTCCTTAAGCCTAGCTGAAACAGTCAAGTGCTGTCTGAAGTACAGCATCTCAGATTGGAGAGCAGCAGCTCTTGATGTTGAGCAGTTTCCAATTAACTGCACTGAAAAATGAACTAGATTTACAAAAAGCTATTTTGCATTGGGAGTTTCTCTCTGAAAGTGTGACTGACACCTGAAAGGCAAATTGAAATACAGGGATTTGGATGGGATTTTTTGTTTGTTTGCATTTAACTCCAATTCCTATTTCCTATTCATTTTTTTTTAGGTACTGCAGCTGACAGCCAGGATTCAGGGATGGTTAGTGAACCTAGCCAACCATCTTCTTCCCCAGAAGAAGCAAGCAGAGACCAATCTGTATGTTCTAAACAGTAAATAGTCTGGAGAAAAGCTGAGTGGCAGGGAGCACTATTTTCATTATTGAGGAGAGTGTTGTTAATATGAGGCTAGGGTGACACTTAGTTACTGAGCAGTCACAACAGCTAAAAGAAGGAGATTAATGTCTGCTCACTTCATGATCATGTTAGAGCTACCAGCCTCACAGCTCTGCTCCCTGGCAGTGTAAAACCCTTGTTTTCACTGCGTGAAAGAGGTTTTCCAAAGCCAAGGTAAATTGCATCCCCCTTAGGCAGATGGAAGCAGGAAAGAATTACGACTTTGATTTCTGGTTTCTTTGCTGAAGTTGGATGGCTCCTTGATTTTTGGAGTGAGGTCTGCACACCATGTACACTCTGTGGCCTTCTCACGTTCGTGACAGTAATCAAAAATTGCTGTGTTGTTTGTGTATCAGTTTGCTGAAGCAGAAACTCGGTTCTGAGTGTTATGGAAGAGTTAAGTGATGTAGAGCCTGAAGACTGAGAGAGAATGGGAAGACAGTATGGGTTGCTGATAGGTAAATCAGGCTTCAGGATTTTGAGTGCCTTTGACAGTTCATACGTTATTTCAGTGCTGTTTAGCTCAGTACAGCTGAAACAAACAGTACAGATTTTTTAAAGGGTTCACATAGAACAGCTTTGTGCATGTGGATTGGAAGTACACTGGCATAGCAAAGATGTGATGTCCTAGAAGGTAGGACAAAACTCCACTTAGAAAACCAATTGGTCAAGACTATACATATCATAATTTTCAATAATACTGTTTAAATAAAAATGAAAGATGCATTCCTCTGCTGTTTTGCCTAAAGCAACTGCTTTCTGTATTAAGCGGATCAATTGTTAATGTTGGAATAATGTTGGAAGAATGTTACTTCTGGGTAATTAAAAAACTTTGAATTGTTGGTTTGGTTTTGATGATTTGAGGCTTGTATATTTACATGTAATTCTTCTAGGCAAATTTCAGGTGTTGCCCTGAGTAACAAACCTGCTTGAAGTAAGATTCAGGTTTCAGTATTTTTATTCTGAAACTTCTGAGTGTAGATGACCACTATTGTAGTAGGTGCTACTGAAGACCATAGAGGTGAGTGCAATAAAATAAACATTCCTCTCTGCTACTTACACTAACAGTCCCTTGCTCAATGCAAGATGTAAAGACATTAGGCTGATAAATCCCTTTTTAATGTAGCAGATGGATGATTTTCAGCACACAGACAGGATTTTGGTGAAAGTAATAGTGGCAAACTTAAGACTGCCAAGAGGAGAGACTGAAAAACACATGTATCTATACCAAATAATCTGGCATACAACTTGTTACTTGCTAGATTTACAGCAGCATCTGTGCTCCCAGGAGTATCCCAAACCTCTTAAAACTGCTGTGTTTGGGAAAATCTGAGTATTTCTGCAAGGTGTTTGAATGGAGCAAAGCTCTTTTTAAAATAAAACAATCTCTGAATAGAAATACCAGCAGCACTCGCAAAGTAGATATCTTCTTTGGTATCTACTTTGGTAGATGGAGTTGTGTGAGTTTGTTTTTTTTTCTTAATATATCTAAGATTTAAGAAAAAGGATTTAAAGAAAGAAGACAAACAGTTCAGTAGTCTCCTACCCAGTTATTTTTCCAAAGTCCTATTCAGCGTTGTATTGCACTCCTTAAATCTCCAAAGCAGGAAGGATTCCAGCCCATTTCACTGGCTGTAAAGCACAGGCATTGCAGATACACTTTATATACACTTCCATTTTCTCCCTGTGTTTCTGTGCCAGTGATTGCTTCCAGACTGTCAGACCAGGCTCCTTATTCTCCCTTTCCCCCACCTTTTGAACTGTCATTGAACCAAACTTTTTGGTGGTAGGGCACTCTAGTAGGATTTCTCTCATTGCATTGCTACCCACCAGTGCTTATCTCAAGAGGGACGTGGCAGATTTAAAGAAGACCTAGAGAAGGTCACCTGACAGAACAAGAAAATGGAGCAGTTGCCTTAAAGGGAAGTTAAAAAGGACTTGCATCGTCTTATTTTGGAGAGGAGAAGGTTGGGGGGGAAGAGGTGATAGAGTTTTAGAATATAACAATGGGCAAAATAGATGCAAAACCATTACTAAGGCTGTTTCCAGACACGTGAAGGACAAGGTGACTTGGGATGGGGCAAACAATATCTGACTGCGTTCTGTAATAAAATGATACACAGCTACCCCAGTCTGAATTCCTAGAGGTGGGCAGTTACAAAGAAGTAGAGCATTAGCAGTGGGGCAAATGCTGTTTCAAATGTATGAACGTTGCTCGGGTTGGTGTTGTGTGAATAATCAAGTTTCAGATTTTTACATTTTGGGAAATTTCTCCCAAAGTTCTTTTGCATCTGTCACTGCATGGAAAAGTCAATTACAGAATCACAGAATTGTAGGGGCTGGAAGGGACCTCTAAAGATCACTTAGTCCAACCCCCTGCAAAGCAGGCTCCATCAGCCAGGCTGCACAGGTAGGCATCCAGACAGGTCGTGAATGTCTCCAGAGAAGGAGACTCCACAACTTCCCTGGGCAGCCTGTGCCAGTGCTCCATCACCCTTACTGGGAAGAGCTTCTCGTACACATTTGTGCAGAACTTCCTAGGCCTCAATTCATGGCTGCTTCCCCTTGTCCTATGGCCACACAGCACTGAAAGCAGCCTGGCCTTGTCTCTGCCTGCTGCACCTTAGATATTTATAGACGTTGGTCAGATCCCCTCTGAGTTGTCTTTTCTCAAGGCTGAACAGACCCAGGTTACTCAGCCTTTCCTCATAAGAGAGGTGCTCCAGGGCCTTTATCATCTTTGTGGCCCTCTGCTGGACTCTTTTCCAGGAGATCCCTGTCTTTTTTTGTGCTGGGGAGCCCAGAACTGGATGCAATTACTTTGTAAGAGAGTAAAATGCGATATGTGCATTTCTAGTTGACAGGAAGAATTGTCTTATACAGTATATGGATATGACAAGCACTCTTTCTTCATTTTATGCTGTTTGTCCTTTTTAACCAAGGAAAAAATACTCCTTTACAACTGCTATTATAATGCTGTTCACTTTGGGCTTCAGAGCAAAAAATTTTCATTCTAAACTTAGTGCTAAGCAATGTTTCCAGAACTGTGATCTCTTCTGTCTCCACTTATTTAAATAAACACCTCATGATAATGAAATCAATCCGGTATGAAATGAATAATTTAGATTGGACAAGTCATTCCTGTGTTCTTCTGACCGAAACTGAAGCCGTGTAGAACTTGGGCAAATTCATAAAATGTGGGGAGAAAAAGGAAAGCTAGCTATGAAACCTGCTTCTGAAATCTTTCTGTATGCAAGCTGCTACTCGCTGCAGTAGGAATTCTTCATGTCATCATTATTATTTTTGGATTTCTAAGGATTAGACTCCCTTGCTAACTCTGAACATCTGAAGATACGATTTCTAACAGGTTACACTTGCGACAGTTCTCTGTCCTCATGGCAAACTCCGTGGGGTTTGTCACAGAGCAGCCAGCTTTCGAACGTACTCTGAAGGTTAAAACCTAAAATCAGCAGCCAGGTCTTTAAGGTTTACTCATACCACTAATTTCATTACTTTCAGTGGAATCATTTGCAGGGGTATGGAGATGACAGGGTTTGTTAGGTATGCAAGTTTGGGCTGCAGGTTTTACACAGAGGTGTCTGTGACACTGTCCAAAACCTCAGTTTATTGTAGATTTGCATTTTCTGCAGAAGCTTTGGAAAAAGGAAAGCAAACCCGAGGGATTCTTGAAGAATCTCATAGTATGTCCATTCAGCAGGCGTATGTAAGATACATTTGTCCCCCCACAGCAAACTGCAATATCTTAACATTTCTGTGGTGTGCTCTTCCACATATGCACCACAGCAGGTTTTTGTATGACAGTGATAATAGCAGTCTTACTGGTGATTTGTTTTTATTCTTCTTCTTCTTGGATTTAAATGCAGCCAATTGCAAACCTCTGAATCCACAAGACTATAGCTGTTTTTTCCATATTATTAAGTAATTAATTTTGACCAGCAATCCAATAAAGTCAGCTTGTTGTAAACAAAAATCTCCCTCCTCCAAAAAAAAAAATTTTCATGACAGAAAAATTATTATGTGAAACATACCTTCTTTGGAACAGTGGAAACTTAAATCATTCTTATGTGTAGATGGGTCTGGTTTTCCTATTTTTTGCCCAATATTTTCTTACTGCAGGACTAGCAGTAGCACAGATCTGTGTCCTTACTTAGCTTGCCAAATTGTAATAGAAGTATCCAAATGTAAAGAAAGACTTTATGCAATCTGTGCCTGAAATGAGAGTGTCACTATATGCTGTATTGCAGCACAGGCCGTTGAGAGAGCTCCAGATCTGTTACAGATACTGGGCAGTGATATCCTGATTTGCCTGCTCAGGGATTTAACCTCCCTGGGTATCCTTACAAGCGTGTCTTAGCAGACATCGGTAAGGCTGAAGGAGCCTAGGCAAGACTACTCCTTGGGGCTGGGGTGGGAGGTAAAAGGCCAGTAGGGGACATTTTCCACATTTCTCCTCCTTGACACTTCTCACCAGCTCTTCAGATGTCCTCAGCTGTGCAGTGTTACTGGTGACCTTGCTAATGACTTCACGGAGTGATATCTGGATCTAACCATGGCTCTAATGATGGGCCAGTTGTGATCTCATATTCTCACTGAATCACAGAATGGCCAGGGTTGGAAGGGACCTCAAGGATCATGTCACATGCAGGGCCACCAACCTCCCCATTTAATACCAGCCCAGGCTGCCCAGGGCCCATCCAACCTGGCCTTGAACACCTTGAACAGGGCATCCACAACCTCTCTAGCCTGTATTCTCTATTTTAATATAACATAATTTATAATCTTAATTTATATTTTGTCTTTAGTGGAGGCTTCTGTGGTTTCACTTACTAATTTCTTCCGATATTATATAGTGGTTAACAGCCATGTGCCTAGTTTCTTGGGAAAGCCTTCATAGATTTTTCAAGATGGGTGTTGCTTCTGATCATGCTAGAAATGGGCTGCTCTTCATAATCTTCCACAGTAAATTTTCACTTGTCTTCAGATAATTATGAAGTGCAGACCCCGCAGACTTCTTTTCTCCAGGCTGAACAAGCCCAGCTCCCTCAGAGGTGCACCAGTCCCCCGATCATCTTTGTGGCTCTCCTCTGGACCCTCTCCAACAGCTCTCTGTCTTTCTTGTACTGGGGCTCCAGACCTGGACACAGGACTCCAGATGGGCCTCACAAGAGCAGAGGAGAGGTGGACAATCACCTCTCTGTCCCTGCTGGCCACCCCTTTTCTGATGGAGCCCAGGGTGCCATTTGCACTCTGAGCTGCAAGAACACACTGCTGGCTCACGTTAAGCTTTTCATCCATCAGAACATCCAGGTCTTTCTCTGCAGGGCTGCTCTCAAGCTCCGCTCCTTCCATTCTGTATGGATGCCTGGGATTCCTCTGGCCAAGTGCAAAAATTTGCACTTTGCTGTGTTGAACCTCATTAAGTTCACCCAGGCTGACCTTTCAAGTCTGTTGAGGTTCCTCTGAATGGCACTCTTTTCTTTGATTGTGTCCACCACACCACTCAGCTTGGTGTTCTCAGCAGCCTTGCTGAGGGTGCACTCAATTCTATCGTCGACGTCATTGGTAAAGACGTTACAGAGCACTGGTCCCAAGACAGACCCCTGGGAGATGCTGTTCGTTAACAGCCTCCATTGGGACACAGAACCATTAATCACCACGCTCTGTTTGACCCTCCTGGACTGGCCTTTCAACGTACCCAATGAGGATCTGGGGAAAGCTCAGGAACATGGCCCTTCCTGAGAAGGGTGGTTGGGCTGAGGCTGTTATACATCATTGCGGATGCCCTTAGCCAGCTCTGTCCACAGAGGGCCAACCTTGTTCTGCTGTCTGCTGCCAACGAGGGCCAGTGTCACCTAAAGGAGAGGTGGTTTGGAACGCAGTACAGCGTGGAAGGTAAACAGTGGCTGAAACATAAAGAGTGCCTGGACTGTGCTCAGAGCAGCACAAAACACACCGCATGGAAGCAGGGGAGTGAATCCTCCATGGGAAACTGACTTTGTCATTAGTCGAGTGCTCCATCCTGCTCTGCAATGGGACTTTGGTATCTTTTGACTCCTGCTCCCTGGGTTTGTAAGTGTGAGGTGTTTTTTGTTAGCCACCAGCTTTGCTTTGAAGGTTGCTGACTGCCCAGAGACAAAATATCCCATCAAAATAGCGAGCACATGGCAAAGCTGCCTGTGGTACAAGAAGGACCATAAACTTAAAATCCCCAAAGGTAAATGCCTTAAGGCTTTCCTAAGATGACAAAGCCCTTGTTTTTACCAGCTGGAATTTGAAAGGCAGTAACTCATGCAGATCTTCACCATTTAAGCTCCAGTGTTTACTGCCAGCTCTTCTATGATCCTTTTGACACATTCACTGGCTGCAGTACGAGAGGAGCGGGTGAACTACCCTGCAACTAAGAAACCCAGCAGATCCTACAGGCTAAAAAGTGGAATCACCAGAACATTCTGAAAACGTTGGCTTCAGAGAGCCTGGCTATGGACAGAATTTGGCATATGGAACAGATGACAGTGGCAGGTTGTGAGAACGAAGAACATCACAGCTAGAGAAAGCTGTAGTCTCTTCAACAGGCAGAGAAAGATAAGAGTCTGCATTTGGGACACGTGTGGAAAATGTACTGCTCTTTTCAAGCAGAACAACAGGTTTTAGTGTCTGCTAAGCATACATTGTGTGGAATTTCCTAGAGTTGTTTGTTTGTATTGATAATGATCAGACCACGTGTCGAAGCATCCTATGAAGTACGGCTTTGTGTTTTCTAACAGTTGATATTTGTAAGGAAAGATTTGGGATTGAAAAAGAGAAGCATTTGATGATGACTTAATACAAGCAAAAATACTTCCTTATAGCTCAGTGACATTTCTCATTAGATTTGAATTGTGACCATGGAATGTGATGGAAAAAAGCTTTGCCTTTGGGAAGCTGTCACTCGCTATGCCTCACTGAAGTCTCTCTTCCCCACCAGGTTACGTTCGTTTCCATCTGATCTCTCCGTTGATACAGCGGTCTGCAGAGAAGTAAGGGCTGTGTGAGTTGTGCACGCTGTGTGGGGTAACCATAGTGCCACACACAGGGAAGTGCAGAGAGACTCGTTCTGAGCTGGAATAGAATTAGACTTCCTTTCTTATTCATCCATTTGTTGCAGTTTATCTGTCCTTTGGCAAGGGTGGCTTTGCAGCAGGCCGTCACTGTAGCGGCTGGGTGTGTGTGGGTTTCATGGTGTGTTATTCTGCAGTGCAACCTATACAAAATGTGCCAGCAGCAGTGTGTGTGCCAGAAGGAAGTGTTAGGGGAGGAGTTGGTCCTGCACACAGCACGGCCATGGCCCGATCCAGGGCCTTGGGGGCCTCCAGGAGCAGGTGAAGAGCACGACGGCAGTGGAACCGTGTGTTGCACAGACTGGAGATGATAGCTCTGCACACAGTGCTCCCTTGCTAATCCTAGGCTGGCACCGCTGTCTGCAGCAAATTTCATAGCGGTCTCCTGGCCTGTTGAGACCTGCACAAGGAGCGCTTTAGAAACGCCATGGGGATTTATGTTTTGCATTTTGAATTGGAATCCAGGCAGCAACAAAAATCTGGAAGTCTGAGCCAGGGCAGCAATGTCTACGTTGCAGTCTGATTTGCTGTAGCTCATCAATTTCCATACTGATAAGCGGTGTTGTTGCAGTGCGCATTCCTGTGCCGAAGTAATCCTGTCACATGTGAAGCTGGAATCATTCCTTGCAAAGAACAGTTGAATGTCAAAGTAATTCTTAAGTCGTGCGTTTGGGTGAAGGGAGATCTGCACTGTGTATTTCCCGATTTGTTAAAATGGGCTGGAGTCTCATTTTGCCCAAGTTTTCATGTCTGCTGGAGAATTTCTTGTGTGTACATCCAAGCTGATTACCTGCAGTGTTCAAGTGTTCATCTTTTGCTCTTTTCTCTGTGCAGCATAGTGTTGTTCGATACGTTTGTAAACATCCTTTCTCTCAACCTTGGTGAACCAGCTTACGCAGCAGACGTCGCCCAGCTGGAATACAAGCTGGTGGCTGGAGAGCACGGCTTAATCATTCGAGTGAAAGGATTCAATCATAAACTACCTGTAAGTACTAATTAATTTGCTAAGGAATTGTTTAGTGAAGAATATCAAGCAGAACTGAGGAATGTGCCTTAGTGTCTTTTATGTTGATCAAATGATTTGTTTCTTTTAAGCATTCTATTTGGAATAATTCCAAACCGGTTGTCTTCTTCTGGAAAATGGAGAATTCTGTTTTCTTTACAGCTTCTGTTTCAGCTCATCATTGATTACTTGACTGACTTCAGCTTTACTCCAGCGGCTTTTGAAATGATAACAGAGCAGCTGAAGAAAACATATTTCAATATCTTATCAGGCCTGAGACTCTGGCCACGTGAGTTCTGGGGGAGAGTAAAGGAGGCAGCACTGCAGTTGTTGAGGTTGAGCAAGGAGCCCAGAAAACAGTGCTCTGTGCTGGTGGAGGTTTGTTCCAGGGCAGCTCGTGGCTCTGACTGCTCAGTATATCAAACTCGAGGCTCAGACTGGGCCTGCAGGTAGCTGCTGTTCTGAAGCAGCCAGCAGCAGGGGCTGAGGCAGGGCAGGGTGAGCCCACAGCGGTGCTCTGGGTACTATCTGCCCATCTGCTGTGTGCTCCTGAGTCAGAAGTGGGATCACTTACATTAGGCAGCTCCTGGGACTTGTGGTTTTGTTTCCCTTCTGTTTATTGCAGGGACGTGCGTCTCCTGATTTTAGAACATGGCAGGTGGTCCATGATAGACAAGTATGAGACATTGATGAAGGGCCTTTCCACTGAGGCTCTCTCATCCTTTGTTGAGGCTTTCGAGGCACAGCTGTTTGTAGAGGGTCTCATGCAAGGCAACTTGAACAGGATGAAAACCACCCTGACTCTTGACTGTGGCTCTGTCCATAGTTTCATTTATCAGGGATGGCCTTGGCCATTCCAGCTCTCATGGCTGGGTCTGGGACACGTACAAAAAGCTGGTCCTTCCTGAGGAGCAGCTGCTCTTTGACACCCAGCGCCAGGCCTCCAGCTGGCCTTGTTGGCTTGACCTTTGGCCCTGCCACGGATGGGGCAGCCTCTGGGTCCGTAGAGTCATCTACACTGATACAGTTACACTGCCCTGTTCAGAGGAGCCTCTAGGGTGCCCTAGAACACACTGCGGATCTCTGGGGGCACTCGGGTTTGCCCTAGGGTGTACTGAGGATCCCTTGAAGTCCTCCAGGACACCCTGGGAAGTCTGCAGGGGACATGTGTCCTCCCCAGCAAGCTGGTGCCTGGGAGCAGTTCTGTAGGAGCTCCATGGAGTAGAAAAACATCCCAAGGCAGTCGTTTGGGCTGTGCTTTGGGCCACAGCATTGTGTTAAGGGCTTGAAGTTATGCGGTGCTGAGTGAACTGTTGTCAGGAGTTATCCCTAACCTCTGTCTGTGACAGGGGCACAGGCCCAGAAGAAAACAAAAGAGAGGGGGAAAAAAAAACCAGCTCACCTTTCACTGAGCAGCCCAGCCGGCCCCAGCCCTGGGACTAATGAGGCAAGGCACTTGCAGGCTGTGCGCTCCGGGAGAAGGGGAGGGGGGCAAGGGTAGGGAGATAGCAGGTGGGACTGAAAAAAACCACGGCAACAATCTCAGGAGGAACGGTGATTTACTAAATCCGACAAAATCAAGCAAATCAGAGAGAAAAGAGCGTGCAAACACGAGGTCTTACGTTAGAAGACTGCAGGCTTGGAACCACGTGCTTTTCTCCGCGGCGAACCCAAAGAGCAAAACGGCCAGAGGGAGAGCGGCTGCATCCTGCCAGCAGCTCCACCCTTCCTCCTCTGCACACAAAGTCCTCCGCGAATGCCGCTCCGCCGCTCCTCCCCTCCTCTCCGAGAACCCAAAATGCCCGGAAAAGGCAGTCCACGGAACCAGAACGTTAATTCTTTGGCTCACACAGTTTTACGTGATGTTAAGATGTGGAATACCGACAACAAAAAACATCACACAACCTTAACAACTGTTCAACTTTTGGCTTTCCTCTCAAGGGTGGGCTTTCCGCTCTGCCCCCAAAGGCTTTTGGATGCAAGTTGTGTCACAGTTTCCCCAATGGAGCCAGCGTTGAAAGGAGCCTGGATGTGGCTCTGGCCACGGCTCCTTCTTGCTGACAAGTGCAGGGCAATGCCCAAAACATGAGGGGTTTGGGCCCACTATCCTGCTGCGCAGAACGTCCTGAGCTGGGGACAGCAGCAGTGCCAGCAGGCTTCCAAGTCCTCCCCAGCTCTGTCACAGTCTCCTTTGTGACATCACAAAGCCGGCATGACATCAGCCGTGGCACAGTCACGCTGGCAGCCTCCCCAGCTCAGATACGCAGGGCAGCCGCTCTGTACTGGTGGTTACCTCTGGAGCTCCGCTCAAGGTAGCAGCCACTTTGTGTGTTGGATTGTTCCTTGGGAGAGAACAGGATGAAACTCATCCTGACTCCCACCCTGATTGTGGCTCTGGCCACACTTTCATTTATCTGGGATGGCTTTGGCTGTTCCAGCTCTCTTGGCTGTGCCTGGCACACGTACAAAAAGCTGGTCCTTCCTGAGGAGCAGCTGACCGTTGACACCCAGTGCCAGGCCTCCAGCTGGCCCTGTTGGCGTGGCCTTTGGCCCTGCCACGGATGGGGCAGCTTCATGTTCGGAAGAGCGATCTTTACAGAGGACCAGAAGCAGCAGCCCCTGGGCACGGAGCAGAAGGCCTTTGTGGGGCCCTTCTGGTCGGGACTTTCAATGTACCGCATTCAGATCTGGGAAAGGGTCATCAACATGGTCCTTCCCGAGAAGAAGCAGCAGCCTGTAATCGCTGCTGAACAGGCTTCGAATGGGCCCTGTTGGCTAGGCCTTTCTTCCTGCCCCACATGGCTGCAATATGGGGTCAGCAGGGCTGGCGGAAGGCAGAGCCCGAAGCAGCAGCCCCTGCGCATGGAGCAGAAGGCTTTCAAGGGGCCCTTCCAGCCTGGCCTTTCAACGTACCCAATGAGGATCTGGGAAAGGGTCAAGAAGATGGTCCTTCCTGAGGAGCAGCTGCCAGTCGTCCCCGAGCACCAGCATTCCAGCTGTCCCTGTAGGCTTGGCGTGTTCCCCTGCCTCACGTGGATCCGCTCCAGGGTCAGCAAGGCTGGCGTAACGCAGGGCCCGAAGCAGCAGACCTTGTACACCAAGCTGAAGGCCCTCAGCTTGCCCTACCCTCTGGGCCTCCTTTGGGACTACCTGGCCCAAGCGGGGAAAACCTGGCTCGTTACTCACTGCCTGACAGATGTCTGCATTCTCTGCCTGCTGAGCATTGCCCGCAGCCTCTGGAGAAAAGTAAGAAGACCTCAGGAACAGGTGAGCGATTGAGGTGCACTGCACGGGAAGGGGGCTGCTGGTGGGAGCAGGGAGCCGCACACACCTGGTCCGTGAAGGCTTCCAAGGAAAGCAGACCCCAGAAAGTCCACTACCTCCCCCAGAGGGACTCGCTCATTCGCAGATCTGACACCCACTGGGAGCCCCTATGCAACGTGGGGCTTGGAGGTGCTGTGAGCCCCATGTGCTGCACTGAGCGGTCCTGTGAGGCTGGCCTACCTCCAGAGGAAGCCGAGCCCTGCAGGATAATTCCCTGCCAAAGGAGCCTGCTTCCCTTTCTCTCTGCTCATGCTGTGTTCACTTCCAGGGAACGGGACAAATGGACTCAGCTTCCACGGGAACAGACATCTCGCAAGGGGAAGCCATGCATTATTACGACGAGCTCTGTGAGATGAAGTCCCTGCTTCTCTTAATGGACAGATACGTGACGATCCTCCAGAAGAAGAGCAACTGCCAGTGCCAAAGGAAGAAGGAGCAATGAGCAAGGAAGCTGAGATGCTCCTCATCCACTTCCAGCTCGTTTGCCACTTCACACAGCGCACCAGCTGCTTCCGTAAGGCACAACCTGGAAAACTTCAAGGGGCTTTAAAATCAACGATGTGATGAACAAATGATTGGAATACGTCTGTTACTTGCCATCTTATGTCATTCATACAGATGTATAAATAAAGTGAGATTGCATAAAATTTCTGAGGAGAATGTATGTCAGGTGTAACTAACGGCAGGACTCTACTGCCTGCCAAGTTCTTTCAGCATATATTGATTTCCTTGTGAGCTTAATGCAACCAGACTTGAACACACAAATTCTGCAGCTTATTCTTCACCAGTACTTCTGCTCCCAGCTCGATGCAGCGTGCTCTCTTGTGAGAACTGCAGATGCACAGTGTTTGCATACCGTTGTACAGGCGCCTACTTGTACAGCAAGCCTACACACGTTCCTTTTCCAGCAGAAGTTCCTAGTCCTGAGCAGGAGTCTGCCAGATCCCGAACTCTTGCATGACTTGCTGAGCACTGTCCTCAATGGGTTGGGTTGTGTTTTTCTTCACTCCACACGTTTCAAAAGCCGAGGAGCAGGGAAATTTTACTGCTGCTGAAAAGCAGAACCTATCCAGAAGCGCAGTGCCACGAAAGCCAGGGACCGAGTTTGCTCGCGTGGTTGCTTCTCCCCTCGTTCGCACTCCGCCATCCCCGGCACGAGCAGAGCGCCGTTCGGTGAACGCAGGGCTTTGCGGGGGGGCGGGCGGGCTCGGCCCTTCGCTATGGGGCGCTGACGAGCGCCGCCTGCGGGGCGAGAGCTGAGGTAGCGGCCCTACCTGAGGCGGCGGCCACGGCCGACCGCTGCGGCCTCGCGCGGCGGTTGGGCTGAGGCGGCGGCACGAGGCGGGGTGCCGCTGCCCGCGGCTGTTTGCCGTTTTGCATCCCTTGGGCTTCAATGCAGCTCTGGTTGTAGGAATGGAATGTTGTTTCTGCATTTGATATTAAAAAGGGCAGCTAGTTTGAAGAAGTGGAACATAATGCATTTGTAAGTTATCCTTAGAATCACAGAATCACAGAATGATACAATCACAAGGTTAGAAACGACCTCCAACATCATCCAGTCCAACCGTCTCCTCATCACCATTGCCACCGCTAGCACTAAACCGTATCACGCAGCACGTCGTCCAGACACCTCTTGAACACTGCCAGGGACGGCGACTCCACCACCTACCTCTCTGGGCAGGCCGTGGCAGTGCCCGACCACCCTCTGAGAGAAAAAGTTCTTCCGTACGTCTCATCTAAACCTCCTCTGACACAACTTGCGTCCATTGCCCCGTGTCCTGCTCGTTGCCTGAGAGAAGAGGCCAAACCCCTCTTGACCAGAACCTCCCTTCAGGAGATTGTAGAGTGCAGTGAGGTCTCCCCTGAGCCTCCTCTTCTCCACACTGAACCATAATGAACCTCATAAGACCTGTGCTCCAGACCCCTTACCAGTTTCTTTGCCCTTCTCTGGACATGCTCCAGGACCTCAACACCTTTCCTATAGTGAGGAGCCCAGAACTGAACACAGCACTTGAGGTGTGGCCTCACCAGTGCCGAGTAGAGGGGGATGCTCACCTCCCTGCTCCTGCTGGCCACACCATTTCTAATGCGGGCCAGGATGCCGTCGGCCCTCTTGGCCACCTGGGCACACTGTGGGCTCATGTTCAGCCCAGCACCAACCAACACCCCCAGGTCCTTCTCTTCTCCACACTCATCCAGCCACTCATCCCCAAGCCTACAACGCTGCATGGGGTTGTTGTGCCCAAAGTGCAGGACCCGGCACTTGGCCTTGTTGAACCTCATCCCATTCACCTCCCAGCGGTCCAGCCTGTCTAAATCCCTCTGACGGGCCTCCCTACCCTCAGGCAGATTGACACCACCTCCCAGCTTGGTGTCATCTGCAAACTTACTGAGGGTGCACTCAATGCCCTCATCTAGGTCATCAATAAAGATATTAAACAGGATGGGCCCCGGTACCGACCCCTGTGGTACACCACTTGAAACAGGTCCCTGCTGGACTCCATTCACCACGACCCGCTGGGCACGGCCCTGTAGCCAGTTCCTTACCCAAAGAAGTGTATATATCTGTTCAGACCACGGGCAGCCAGTTTCCTCAGAAGAAGCCTGTGAGGGACCGTGTCAAAGGCTTTGCTGAAGCCTAGGAAGACTACGTCAACAGCCCTTCCCTCATCTACCAGACTGGTCACCCAGTCGTAGAAGGAGATGAGGTTGGTCGAGCACGACCTGCCTTTCACCAACCCGTGCTGGCTGGGCCTGATCCCCTGGACACTGTGCACATGCCGTGCGATCTCATCCAAGATGATTTGCTCCATAACCTTCCTTGGTACTGAGGTTAGGCTAACAGGCCTGTAGTTCCCCGGATCCTCCTTATGGCCCTTCTTGAAGATGGGAGTCACATCAGTAAGCCTCCAATCCTCTGGGACCTCACCAGTTAACCAGGAGCGCTGATAGATGGCTGAGAAGGGCTCAGCAATCACCCCCGCCAGCTCCCTCAGCACCCGAGGGTGCAGCCCACCCCGTCCCATGGACTTGTGACAGTGCAGACGGAGGACGAGCTCTCTGACTGTCTCCCCTGGAATTGCTGGGGGCATATTCTGAGCAGCGTCCCAGACTTCCAGATCGGGGCATAGAAAGCCCGGAGGATAACTGATCTGGCTGTTAAAGGCAGATGTAAAGAAGGCACTGAGGACCTCAGCCCTCTCCTTGTCCTCAGTGACCACATTCCCTGCTGCATCAAGTAGAGGATGAGAATTATCTTTGGTTCTTCTTTTGCCATTGATATATTTATGAAAGGATTTTTTGTTGTCTTTTACTGCAGAGGCCAACCTGAGCTCAAGTTGGACTTTCGCCTTCCTAACTTCCTCCCTGCATACCTTAGCTACTTCTTTGTAGTCTCCCTGAGCAGCCTGTCCCTTCTCCCTGTGCGTGTAGACTCTCTTTTTCTCCCTGAGTCTCAACACCAGTTCCCGGCTCATCCACACCGGTCGTCTTCCCCCGCGGCTCGCCTTACGGCACTCAGCACAGCCTGTTCTTGCTCCTTTACGATTTCGGTCTTGAGCAGCGTCCAGGCTTCCTGGGCCCCTTTACCCTTGGGAAGCAACTCCCAAGGGACCCGCGCTGCAAGCGCCCTGACCAGGTCAAAGTCTGCCCTCTGGAAGTTCAAGAAGGTAGTTTTGCTGGCCACTCTTTTGACATCCCCAAGAATGGAGAATTCTACAATTCTGAAATAGTTGATCTAAGAAGCAGAAATACTGCACCTGTCAGCAGCGTGGTTTAGAAACATAATTGCTGAATTATGTGATTAATTCTTTCTTGCAAAACTGCAGTAGTTGTTAAATGTTCCAAACAGCGTGGGTGTAGTGTTAGGGATTAGAAAACGTATTGTAGGGTTGTTCTGTTAGGATCAGAAACTCCCAGCAGAAGAAAAACAGATGTAACAACCATCCCAGAAGCCAGGGCCTCTGCAAAAGGCCAGACTGTCACGGGGCTGTGAGAGGGCTGGGACGTGACAGGCGGGCACCAAGATCCTCCCCTCTGTCCTCCTTCTGAGCTTTTCTTGGTGGAAGGGAGGACAAGCAGATATCCAGAAACAATGACCAAGGGTGGAGTGAGGGTCTGAATTAAATTAATTAAAATTCACGCTTAGCCAGCGAAGATTTATGTTTGTCCAGTGTTTGCGTGTTTAGTGAAGCGTCGAGAAGACTGTGAAAAGTACTGAGTACCTAAAGTACTCAGCCAATGAGGAACTAGGGGAGAAAGAGAGAAACGCCGGGCAACAGGGTATAAAAAGATGCAGCACTGTTTTGTGGGTGCTCTCCTGCTTGCAGGAGACCCGCCATTGCAATTGCGAATAAAATCTGCTTTATCAGAAGTACCGTCCTGATAAATGATTTGGATATTTCCAACGCAAGACAGACCCCTGGGAGATGCCGTTCGTTACCAGCCTCCACCAGGACACAGAACCATTCATCACCAGCCTCTGTCTGTGGCCAGGACTCCAACTGGCCCTGTAGGCCTGACCTTTCCTCCTGCCCCAGACGGTTCCAGTACGGGATCAGCAGGGCCGGTGTTAAATAGAGCCCGAAGCAGCAGCACCAGGGCATGGAGCAGAAGGCCTTCAAGGGGACTTCCCTGGCCTGGCCTTTCAACGAACCCAGTGAGGGTCTGGGGAAGGGTCAGGAAGATGGCCCTTCCTGAGGAGCAGCTGCCAGTCGTCGCCAAGCACCAGGACTCCAACTGGCACTAGAATGTACTCTTGGGAAATCAAGTCCAGGTTTTGTATGTGGCTTGGGAACATTACTGAAGCTCATTCATTTCTGTGAGGTACATAAATACAAGGAGTACAAAAAGAAATGGAACAGGCAGTATTGGAAATGGAGATTTTGTCTTTCTAGATGCTCCAAGTCTGGTCAGGCACTTTTACCACCTGCCAGTCTGCGTGGAGCTTCGGGAGGTTGGAAGCATCATCTGTAGCAAATCCTTCCATCTGCAGCTCTGCCTTCAGAAGAGCACGTGGAGGATACTGAGTGTCTTGAGCGGCCTCTGAATAACAGAGGAAAGTTATATTTGCAAGTGGTACAGACAGCAAGGACTGCTGCCAACAACCCCAAGTAATGCATAACGGAGCAGCAGATTTTTTTTTAATAGGATGAGTTAACTGATTGCCAAGTGCATTTTTAAGGTGTAGCATGGTGTTATTTATTACTGCAGTGCAATTCTTACGAATTTGTTAGCAGGATGTGATCATTACAAAAGTAGAGCTGTGAGTCTTCTAGCAAAAGCTTTCTGTAGAACAGCGGACAAGAACTAAAACTCTGTAAGAGATGGCTATTTGGGACGTTGCACATGGCAGCAATGTCTGTTGTCCTATGTGCAGTGTTATGATTCAGTCTTTAACTATTGCAAGCAGTTGTCGTTCAGTTTGAAGCCTGACATTTCCATCAAAACGAATCTATTTAATTCTCAAAGGTTCTTGTTAGTGTTCTTTGTGTTTGTAGCTCGAGCTGTAATTGTGTTTTCCCGTTTCTCAGATGTGCAGTGTGTTAAGAAATTCTCGGTTCTGTTTCTGATTCATTTTTAAAACACAGCTATGCCAAACTTCTCTCAGGGGGAGCTGTGGTCCTTATCTGGACCCCGGGGTCTTTGGGGTGTGACGTTGGCTGGTTTAAATAAAGCAATAGCCAAAACCAAGCACGCAGTGGGAAGTGTCCACCAGGCAGTTGTACAGAGTTGCCATGCTTTCATGTCCAAGTGAGAAATCTTTTCCTTCTCGTACTGTACGGTACGCTAGAGAGCTTGGGAAGGGGCCGAATCAGAGGTATATGTGCATCTGCAGTGCCTCAGCTTGCTCTTTCCAGGTTCTAGAAACCCTGAAATCTTGAACTGTGGAGACAAGGACCCAGTAGGTGTAGTGACTGTTAAGCACACGGTCTCTTTCATGAAGATGCTGTCTCTGATGCTCTGGGAGTCTCGCGGGAGTCCTCAGTGTCAGATACGGTTGCGAAACACGTTTAGTTTAATAACCAAAACTAAATGCCATCCCAAACTCTGCGTGTAACTCACAGCCACCATACCTGATTACGTGTCTCGAGGTGAGGAAAATACAGGCATACTGTACAATGCAGGCATACACAGACATATAATTAGGCATATCACAGGCAGAGGTTTTGTATTTATTGAGTCACTTTAAACACTTAAAAAACAAGTTTCCTTGTGTGTGTAAGGTTGTGATGTCTTGTTCTCCTCACGTTGAGATGAAGGAGTCTCAGCTGGGCCAGGCAGAGCCACAGCTGCGGTGCTGAGTGAACTGTTGTCAGGAGTTATCCCTAGACCTCTGTCTGCGACAGAAAACAAGAGAGGGGGGAAAAAAACCAGCTCACCTTTCACTGAGCAGCCCAGCCGGCCCCAGCCCTGGGACTAATGAGGCAAGGCACTTGCAGGCTGTGCGCTCCGGGAGAAGGGGAGGGGGGCAAGGGTAGGGAGATAGCAGGTGGGACTGAAAAAAACCACGGCAACAATCTCAGGAGGAACGGTGATTTACTAAATCCGACAAAATCAAGCAAATCAGGGAGAAAAGAGGGTGCAAACACGAGGTCTTACGCTAGAAGACTGCAGGCTTGGAACCACGTGCTTTTCTCCGCGGCGAACCCAAAGAGCAAAACGGCCAGAGGGAGAGCGGCTGCATCCTGCCAGCAGCTCCACCCTTCCTCCTCTGCACACAAAGTCCTCCGCGAATGCCGCTCCGCCGCTCCTCTCCGAGAACCCAAAATGCCCGGAAAAGGCAGTCCACGGAACCAGAACGTTAATTCTTTGGCTCACACAGTTTTACGTGATGTTAAGATGTGGAATACCGACAACAAAAAACATCACACAACCTTAACAACTGTTCAACTTTTGGCTTTCCTCTCAAGGGTGGGCTTTCCGCTCTGCCCCCAAAGGCTTTTGGATGCAAGTTGTGTCACAGTTTCCCCAATGGAGCCAGCGTTGAAAGGAGCCTGGATGTGGCTCTGGCCACGGCTCCTTCTTGCTGACAAGTGCAGGGCAATGCCCAAAACATGAGGGGTTTGGGCCCACTATCCTGCTGCGCAGAACGTCCTGAGCTGGGGACAGCAGCAGTGCCAGCAGGCTTCCAAGTCCTCCCCAGCTCTGTCACAGTCTCCTTTGTGACATCACAAAGCCGGCATGACATCAGCCGTGGCACAGTCACGCTGGCAGCCTCCCCAGCTCAGATACGCAGGGCAGCCGCTCTGTACTGGTGGTTACCTCTGGAGCTCCGCTCAAGGTAGCAGCCACTTTGTGTGTTGGATTGTTCCTTGGGAGAGAACAGGATGAAACTCATCCTGACTCCCACCCTGATTGTGGCTCTGGCCACACTTTCATTTATCTGGGATGGCTTTGGCTGTTCCAGCTCTCTTGGCTGTGCCTGGCACACGTACAAAAAGCTGGTCCTTCCTGAGGAGCAGCTGACCGTTGACACCCAGTGCCAGGCCTCCAGCTGGCCCTGTTGGCGTGGCCTTTGGCCCTGCCACGGATGGGGCAGCTTCATGTTCGGAAGAGCGATCTTTACAGAGGACCAGAAGCAGCAGCCCCTGGGCACGGAGCAGAAGGCCTTTGTGGGGCCCTTCTGGTCGGGACTTTCAATGTACCGCATTCAGATCTGGGAAAGGGTCATCAACATGGTCCTTCCCGAGAAGAAGCAGCAGCCTGTAATCGCTGCTGAACAGGCTTCGAATGGGCCCTGTTGGCTAGGCCTTTCTTCCTGCCCCACATGGCTGCAATATGGGGTCAGCAGGGCTGGCGGAAGGCAGAGCCCGAAGCAGCAGCCCCTGCGCATGGAGCAGAAGGCTTTCAAGGGGCCCTTCCAGCCTGGCCTTTCAACGTACCCAATGAGGATCTGGGAAAGGGTCAAGAAGATGGTCCTTCCTGAGGAGCAGCTGCCAGTCGTCCCCGAGCACCAGCATTCCAGCTGTCCCTGTAGGCTTGGCGTGTTCCCCTGCCTCACGTGGATCCGCTCCAGGGTCAGCAAGGCTGGCGTAACGCAGGGCCCGAAGCAGCAGACCTTGTACACCAAGCTGAAGGCCCTCAGCTTGCCCTACCCTCTGGGCCTCCTTTGGGACTACCTGGCCCAAGCGGGGAAAACCTGGCTCGTTACTCACTGCCTGACAGATGTCTGCATTCTCTGCCTGCTGAGCATTGCCCGCAGCCTCTGGAGAAAAGTAAGAAGACCTCAGGAACAGGTGAGCGATTGAGGTGCACTGCACGGGAAGGGGGCTGCTGGTGGGAGCAGGGAGCCGCACACACCTGGTCCGTGAAGGCTTCCAAGGAAAGCAGACCCCAGAAAGTCCACTACCTCCCCCAGAGGGACTCGCTCATTCGCAGGTCTGACACCCACTGGGAGCCCCTATGCAACGTGGGGCTTGGAGGTGCTGTGAGCCCCATGTGCTGCACTGAGCGGTCCTGTGAGGCTGGCCTACCTCCAGAGGAAGCCGAGCCCTGCAGGATAATTCCCTGCCAAAGGAGCCTGCTTCCCTTTCTCTCTGCTCATGCTGTGTTCACTTCCAGGGAACGGGACAAATGGACTCAGCTTCCACGGGAACAGACATCTCGCAAGGGGAAGCCATGCATTATTACGACGAGCTCTGTGAGATGAAGTCCCTGCTTCTCTTAATGGACAGATACGTGACGATCCTCCAGAAGAAGAGCAACTGCCAGTGCCAAAGGAAGAAGGAGCAATGAGCAAGGAAGCTGAGATGCTCCTCATCCACTTCCAGCTCGTTTGCCACTTCACACAGCGCACCAGCTGCTTCCGTAAGGCACAACCTGGAAAACTTCAAGGGGCTTTAAAATCAACGATGTGATGAACAAATGATTGGAATACGTCTGTTACTTGCCATCTTATGTCATTCATACAGATGTATAAATAAAGTGAGATTGCATAAAATTTCTGAGGAGAATGTATGTCAGGTGTAACTAACGGCAGGACTCTACCGCCTGCCAAGTTCTTTCAGCATATATTGATTTCCTTGTGAGCTTAATGCAACCAGACTTGAACACACAAATTCTGCAGCTTATTCTTCACCAGTACTTCTGCTCCCAGCTCGATGCAGCGTGCTCTCTTGTGAGAACTGCAGATGCACAGTGTTTGCATACCATTGTACAGGCGCCTACTTGTACAGCAAGCCTACACACGTTCCTTTTCCAGCAGAAGTTCCTAGTCCTGAGCAGGAGTCTGCCAGATCCCGAACTCTTGCATGACTTGCTGAGCACTGTCCTCAATGGGTTGGGTTGTGTTTTTCTTCACTCCACACGTTTCAAAAGCCGAGGAGCAGGGAAATTTTACTGCTGCTGAAAAGCAGAACCTATCCAGAAGCGCAGTGCCACGAAAGCCAGGGACCGAGTTTGCTCGCGTGGTTGCTTCTCCCCTCGTTCGCACTCCGCCATCCCCGGCACGAGCAGAGCGCCGTTCGGTGAACGCAGGGCTTTGCGGGGGGGCGGGCGGGCTCGGCCCTTCGTTATGGGGCGCTGACGAGCGCCGCCTGCGGAGCGAGAGCTGAGGTAGCGGCCCTACCTGAGGCGGCGGCCTCGCGCGCGCTGTGCGGCAAGCGGCGACACCTGGCGCTCAGTCTGAGATTTAAGGCCGCAGGAAGCCTGCATCGGACCAAATGAAAACTTGACGCTGTTTCTTGGAGCTGCACTGATTTCTTTTGCTTACAACAGTTTCCACGTTGTAAGAGATCATACTGTTAACGTCTGTGTCTCAAATCTTGCTGGGGACACAGATGGACTTGTTCAAGTCCAGGCAAGTCCCGAACAGGGAGTGTGAAATCCTTTGTCTCGGGGATGCAGATAGACAAGGCCAGGGGCAACCAGAGCAAGATGAGCTGCAGCTCAATAGCTGAGAAGTGCTCCTCTGTGTGGACCTATCTCAAGATGGTGGCCATCTCAGGGGGTACTCAATGACTCTTGCTCAAGGCCCATCCTTGTCACATAGGTAGGAGAACAAGGAGGATAAAAGAGGAATAGAAAACCATGAGGACAGGTTTCTGGCAACAGATTCCTCGTGAAGAAGATCGGGGTTTCTGGCAACAGATTCCTCATGAAGCAGAACAGAGGGATTCCTGACGATCAGATTCCTCGTGAGGTGACTCCTGCATGCTGTCGAACTCTCCTGTGCCTGCTGCCTGAGCGCTGCTGCTTCCTCAAGGCTTGGCTCCATGACTTCCTCCACTGCCTGCTTGCTGCCCAAGGCCGCCACGCTGCTGCTCCTCGCCCCCCCGCTGTGTCTGCCTTGGACCTTCAAACACCGTGCAACAGGACGCTGCTGGATCCTGCTGGTGACTCTCCCCGCTTTACGCAACTCCTGCTTCTTTTCCATCTTTTCTATCGCCCTCCTTCCCTTCCCTGTCTTCCTGATTAGGTTTTGTAATAAACTGGTCGGAACATCATATGAACCGTTGTTTCTTAATCTCCGGGTATACAGATATTAAAAGAACCCCATCTCCCTCCTATAAATTGGAGCCAGACACACGTTCAAAAGTGAAACTCAGAAGACTGCTAACCAGCGGGGCAGGTTGCTAGAATTACTGACACTTCTGTATAAAGAAATAAACTTATTTCTGTAACTGAAGGGAAAAGATTAACTTTTTTTAGTATTTTTATACTGTTTCTAGCTTGTAACCTCTAAGCTCAAGCTTGCCAATGTGACTAGTGATCATTACAGAGTTACGTCATACAGCTTTTTAGCAGATTTCTAGTTCGTGTTAAATAAGCTTGTTGGTGGTGATTTGGGCAGCAGGGTGACGCAGTGGTTGAGATGGAATCAGGATGGCTTTGTGCCTCACACCTACTAAGCAAAGCCAGGCATAATCTTCTAAATGTTCGTCTTACTCTGATAGTTTCCAGCACAGCAGTTCTAGAATATGGACTTTGTCAATTCGAGATGAACTTTTTCTCCCTTCAAATACAGCTGCTTTTCCATTTGATCAAACTCAGAGCCATAATTTAGAAATACAAATTTGACTAAGAAATCGGAGACATTCAAAGAAAGTGACTTGTTGGTTGGAGTTAACTTGGGCAAGCATTTCATCCCCTGCATTTCGTTCTTTTCAAAGGGACATGCAATTAGAGGCAATAAAAGCACATACTAACTCTGAAAAATGTAAATAAAATTATGTATTGAACTATGGTCAGAACACAGGCTTTGAACCATAGAGCGGTGTTCATTTTGTGGAAGAAAATCAGCATGCAGTCCAGAATGCAAAATGCTAAGTCTTCTCTACAGAGAAGAGTGTATGAGTTCAGTTAGAATATTCCAGGAATGCTTTTCTGATGAAAATTCTGAAGCAGATTCCTCGTTGGAAACAGAAAGCACACATGTATGATGATGTTGAGGTTCTCAGTAGGAGCAGGACGGAGTCATTAGAGGACACATGCAGAACTGATGCAGTCAGAAGTGTCTGACTTGAGTGCAAGTGAGCTACATCTTACATGAGAAGACACTGAATTACGACAGCACAGCTCTCCATTTTATATCAAGCCAAGAAGTAGAATAAATCTCTTTCTGTGCTTGGAGGCTTCCTCCAGTGCTTTGATTAACATGAGTATTTGGATGTGGGGTTACTTCTCTAGCTCTGTTGTGCAAGTATTTTACTTAACTTGGAGTCTGAGCCATCAAAGCAAGATGCTCACTGGAATTCTGTTTGTGGTGGTAAAGGAGCTCGAAACTACAACCTCAATGCGTTGCAAAGTTTCAGCAGGTAGAATGAACAGACTTTTAGACGGGATAATCTGACTGCTTTCATTCTGAGCAGTGACTGAAGTGAAGAGACCAGCAAATTTCTAGCATCAGAAGTGACTTGTCTCAAAGGTAAGACTGTATGAACTGCCCGAGTTAACATAAGCTAATTGAAGCTGGTTTTAATGTCCTGACTAGGAAAATGAGGTGTATTTTTTTTCCCATAGGTGGTTTATTTTTCTTGTATATGTGAACAATATCAAGTAGCCTGTTTTATTCACTATTTCAGGATTCTATACTGTCTATAAGTTCTTACTGAAGTAGGGGTTGATTAATTTTTCTGGACTTTGATTTACGCAAGCTTATGCTTTCTCCTGATAATGATAATAATCTAGAGGACAATGGAAACTTTTTTTTTTTTTTTTTTTGTATAGTCACTGTGTAATTGAAATGGACTCTCAGCTCTCTGTCTTTTCTTCAGTGATCAGATTATTTGTTTGTAGTTAGTATGACCATGGCAAACTGGATATTTGAATGCAAAGTTTGGTGTGAGCTGGAGAAGGATGCTTCTTCCCCAGTAGGAACAATTCTGCTTGTGTTTAGAAGTAACAACCTGTAGTTGAAGGAAGCAAATTCAAAGCTAATTACTGTGCTTCACTGAGAAGACTAACAAAAGAGAGGATGGACTTCTAAACACTGAACATACATGGATGTGGTTGATGCAAGGACAGCAGCTCTTTCAACCTGACACTCTTCTCTGGCCCCACACCTCCTTTACACATTCATGCCACCTATTCTCATAAACTATCAAATTCTTACCTTTTTAATGAGCCTGACAGACACTTCACAGTTAAAAATAAAAAGCAGTTTCTTCAATAAAAGCTGCAGGGAACACTGGCGTGTGAGAAGACTTCTCTCAACTAAAGAGAGAAGTTTAGCAGAGATTTCAGCAGTGCAGACATGAACACTTGGCAGTGACTGGAATAAAAAAGACCTACTGACATAAAGAGCATACTAGGGTTGCAATATACTCTTATTTAAAACTTGAAACGTTTTTTCCATCATGTTGTCATTGATTAAAGGCTCTGGAATATTGTCAGCTTTTCCAGCATTGTTGAACTGAGTTAAAATGTAATCAACTTAAAACGAATAGAACAAAACAGTCATCTAATAAACATCAGTTTTGTGCTGGAAAGAAAACAGGGTGTTCCTGCCCTCTGACCCACTGCTTGTGTAAAAGCACAAAGTCTCCAGTCATGCAAATAGAACATAAAACCTTTCGCTGTTCACTTCTTTCTCCCTGTAACGAAGCACTTCTGTGGTAGTGTGAGCAATATAAGAAGCTAGCCTTTTATTTATGTTGAAATGTTGTAGTACACCTCACTGAATAGTTTGGCGAAGACTCAGCAGAATGTTAGACACAACTGATGAGAACGCTGAACAGGATGAAGTGTTTTGGACTGAGGTGCCCCAGGGCAGAGTGTGGAGCAGATGTCCCTGGGCTTCCAAGAGCTGTGGCTCCTGAACTAAAAGCAGTCCACCCAACTCAGTGCAGGCTGACATGCTCTGATGAGAGATTTCTGACACTTCTGCAGAGCACATCTGAGCTTATCACACAATATTGGCAGCTATCATTTTCTTTAGAAGACAGGATTGTGGCCAGATGACAACATCGAGATAGCTGAGTTGTGATTGGCTTGGTTGTGAGAAATGCAAGTGATCCACACCCTCACATGCAATTTTGTTATCAGTCACACATTGGCAGTGGCACATCTTTAAGAGCAGGTGTAGGCATGTTGGTTCTTGACTCCAGTTTGTCCTTTGGAACATGTATCTAAGTAAGTACTCATGTTCCCCTCAGTTAAAGTGGATCTGTGGAGACCAAGCGGGTTCACAGCATCCAGAAAGAGGCTGTGGTTGCAGCATTTCAACAGCTTAGTGATGAGTAGAAGATGAAAGCCCAGATCTTTAAGTAAGGGTTCAATAAATGAAACTTCCAGTGGGACTATCTTCTGTTCTGGGGTTTGACATCTCTCTTCAAAATCTTTAAAGTTGCAGTGGCAGTGGCAGACAGGTCAGCTTGCCTTCTTGCTGTCATTAAGGGATGTGTCAGTATTGTAGGTATCCCGCTGTGTGCTTTTTTGGTTTTCCTTTCAATGGAACCCATTACTTCACTTGTGCACTTGGTCTGGTGTGCTTTCTCCTATGCCTT